ATATTATGCAAAAATAAATGATCTTACTTAGTACTTTTAAAGTTAATTTCAGAAAAAATTTGACACAATGGTATCCGGCACATACAAGTGGTGTACAACCAAAATATAAGTTGGTTTAAACATATATTGCTATATCTCATGATCTTACTTAGTACTTTTAAAGTTAATTTCAGAAAAAATTTGACACAATGGTATCCGGCACATACAAGTGGTGTACAACCAAAATATAAGTTGGTTTAAACATATATTGCTATATCTCATGATCTTACTTAGTACTTTTAAAGTTAATTTCAGAAAAAATTTGACACAATGGTATCCGGCACATACAAGTGGTGTACAACCAAAATATAAGTTGGTTTAAACATATATTGCTATATCTCATGATCTTACTTAGTACTTTTAAAGTTAATTTCAGAAAAAATTTGACACAATGGTATCCGGCACATACAAGTGGTGTACAACCAAAATATAAGTTGGTTTAAACATATATTGCTATATCTCATGATCTTACTTAGTACTTTTAAAGTTAATTTCAGAAAAAATTTGACACAATGGTATCCGGCACATACAAGTGGTGTACAACCAAAATATAAGTTGGTTTAAACATATATTGCTATATCTCATGATCTTACTTAGTACTTTTAAAGGTAATTTCAGAAAATAATGAAAATTACAAGTTTAAGGTTAATGAAAAGTGACAATGGGCGAGTTTGTCCCCCACTCCTTTAATTCTAAAAAGAACTGTACTGAATTATGAAAATGCATGATTTACATTATTAAAATCTTTGAATGAAAATAGTACAAGATAAGTTTTTATTCATTTTTAATTAGATTTAAACGAAAAACTACTCCATATTAAAATTTAAGTCGAGAAATCGTATTTTGTTCTTATTTGTTAGCATTTTGTAGACATTCTAATCTTGAATTAATTTGTTACATGATATTATTAACAAATTTAACTGAAAAAATATGTTAATATGGAATAAACCATGATTATATAAGCTATCAATGCTATATATACATATGTAAAAGATTCATATTAACTCAATTAACAAAAATGATAGATTTTCATAAAGGTTCAATCTAGGTTCGTCCGAAAATTTTGATTTTTATATAGAAGACATAGTTTCATATACATAATTAAATTTTCAAACAAATTTGATCATACCATTTATTAAGCAGGATAGTATATTAATTACTATCAGTATAAAAATATAAAAATGATTATATTTAATTATTGCATAATTTAGTCAAAGAGTTATAAGCCTCAAGTGATTGTTATCACCTTCAATGCACGTATACTTTATTGATTCATAGATATTTAATCTATGTTTGACATGTTGTTGTCGTCATTCGTTTTGTTCCCATTCTTCCTAAGTTAGAATTAGAGAATACACCATCCACATCATCTAATTTGGTCCTCAGCGATAGATTGGTTCATTTTGGAGGAGTCCCATCAGACAGTTTTCGAGCACCAAATATCAAATTTTAATGTATACAAATCTTTAGTGATTTATCTCTTTTATGATGAGTAAAAGGTTTCTGCTCATCAACATTTGATTTCCGACATATATGATTTCTAATTGCAATTATTTACTTTCTTTTTATAATCTAACTCTGTGACTCATACCATAAATTAATTATTGGAAAGTGTCAATATGTTTGGCACAACGCATGGCGGAAGATACCAAACCATGCAGGGAATATGATACGTTTAAGATCTCCGAACTTTTTTTCCAAAAATTTTCTATCGTTGCCCTACCTCTAAATATTTTCTTTTAATTTCTATAAGATATTATCATGATTATATAATAAAATTTAAATTTTTATTCTTGTCGGTCAAACTTTTGCAATCACATTCTGATTGCAACAAATTGTCTCATTCTGAGAGACATGCAGTGGCAATGTCTCCCGGAATGACACATTGTGACCGACAGGAGTGCATATTACACTCTTGTCGGTCAAACTTTTGCAACCACATTCTGATTGCAACAAATTGTCTCATTCTGAGAGACATGCAGTGGCAATGTCTCCCGGAATGACACATTGTGACCGACAGGAGTGCATATTACATTCTTGTCGGTCAAACTTTTGCAATCACATTCTGATTGCAACAAATTGTCTCATTCTGAGAGACATGCAGTGGCAATGTCTCCCGGAATGACACATTGTGACCGACAGGAGTGCATATTACACTCTTGTCGGTCAAAATACCACTATCTGAACCCAATTCCGGACCAGTACCCCATTTTGCGATTAATCCAATGGGAATCACTTCCAACATTAGAACTTTATAGGTGGATCCCACTAATTTATTAAATTGTTCGATCTATTCTTGCATACTACTTTCAAATTAAGAAAGTTCTTGTCTAATGCATGAATATTTTCATACGCATTGCATCAATGATCTAACAATTTAAAGCTCGCTAACAACCTAAAGCAAAAAACAAAATGATCTGCTAACTATGCAGGCAGCTCAAGTGCACCAAGGGGAGGCGTTTTTCTGAATTGGGCGATCTTCGTGAGATCTCAGGAGGCGAAGATTCGGAACCCAACCGGCTTCAAGCTGTAACATCTTGCTAGCAGGCCATACATTTTTAAACCGCCTCTAACCGTTCATCTCGACCACATTATCGGCATTCATATATATATTTGAATATTAAGACAAATAAAACCATTTGTTTGATCGAAATTGAGTAATTTATTATTAAGGGTGCACCCGCATGTACGTTTATTTGAGAGGAGGAGGATTACCCTCTCAATTTTGAAAGCTTCGTTAACTTAATATCTCGATGAATATTGGATTAAAATTGAATTTGCCCATACCAATATATCTGATACAGTATCCTTAAGTTTTACTAAAAAGAATTTTTTAAAATCCCTGCAGATTCGGGGATTTTTAAATTTTTTGATTTTTTTCGAAAATTTTTCGGAAAAAAAATATTTTCAGAAGAGCCTTAACGGCTAAGTTTTATGTTTAATGTTGAGTATCAAAAAGAATGGGCATCTGATATAGCCATCATATATCCCAGAAGCAAATAAAAATTCCGACTTTTTAAGCATAAAAAATGAAATTTTATTTTTTGCAAAAAACAGGCCACCTGGATGTACGTTTATTTGAGAGGAGGAGGATTAAATTTTTGAAAGCACTAAAATTTGTAAATATACTAGTTATATAATAATATGCATTATTTTAAAAAATAAAAATTAAAGCACGTTAAAATTTTTTTTGATGAATTTTTACAAAAGCTACTCAGGATAATGCAAGATATGAGTAGTTAAACATAAATTTCAAATCAGATTTTACTTATAATAAATATTTTAAATTTCCGAAAATTAAGTTCAGATCGACTCTATACGCGTAGTAAATACTAAATAAGGTGCCAAAAACCTATTAAACAGTATCAAAACTATCAAGATTGTAATGTTTTTGAAGAAAAATTTATAGAATTATGGACTTCAAACAGATATTATGTAAATAAAAATAATATAATGAATTTATTTATTCGTATAATAGCAGTAATAAATCGATTATTCACTTCTACTTCTGAGATTTGAATTTAATTTCGACAGAAAAAGAGATTCAAGAGGAAAATACTAGGGGATACAAACAGCCACCATGACAGGATTATTATGGAGCCAAGTTGTATTTTTTGATATTTTTAGAGTTTTCCTACCTATTTAGGTACCAAGTTATTGCTTAAAAATTAAGGTTCTAAATTCTGAAGTTTACATGATCCTCCCGGGCGCACCCTTAAAATAAAAAAAATTAAGAAAAAAGTTTGTCATTTTCTTTGATATTTATATATCTGAAATCTACCTTATAAATATATCATTAATTTTATCCCATTTTAATATTATGGGTATCAAATGCGAAAATCAAAAAAAATACTGTCCTGATTCGAACTCAATCCATTTAATCTTGGCATACAGACCATCCCATTATGCCAAAAATATTATTGTTTGTTTTCTTAATAATAATATAAGATCGCTTATTTTTTATTTTGCTTCTATTAAAATTTAGCATTTTATATCACCAATCATTAATCTTCTTAAGTAAGATTTATATTTTCACTTTATAATTTGTTCTAATCGAATATTTTTTTAATTCAAAAATTTTAACCCTATTTTTTGATAATAAATGTACCACCACATTTTCTACCTCTATTTGATAAATGTCAAACATATTTTTACTTAATTTCCTTTAATTTTTTTTATATTTTTTTTATTCAGTCTCAATTTCATATTACTTTATATATTCCGGATATAAATTCCATAACTATATCATTGCATTTAAAAATATGGCTCAAATATGATTCTTTATAGGATTTTTTTGTAATACGCCAAAAAATCACGACTTCTAGCCTTCTCATTATGTGAATTATTCCTATAAACCGTCTTAGCCCCTGAATATATAGTTGCAAATTAGATAAACAATATAGCGCCAAATAAATTATTTATGATTATCGACAACACACAGCCATTCTGTTCTAACCATTAGGCAAAATACCCCGACAAGCCAAAAAAAGCACAACTCATGATCGTGCCAGACATCAATAATCTTTTGACGTGATTTGTGCCAAACTCTCAAGAAAATCAATTGTTGGCATTTATTCCTAATATGTTATTATAATGCATCATAGAGAACAAAAAATAATACCACATCAAAATAAAATAAGGCTGATTTCATCTCAAACTTTTAATTTTAACAAAGATACATATTGAAATATCATCACCACATATGGTAGAATATTGCCATATAATTGACACTTGACTTTTACACAAGCTCAAAATCAGCATCCCCATAGGATATTAGGTTTTCGAGAAAACAACACGGGATAAAAGTACACACATATATCTATCTAATTTCATAAAATCAAGTTGCTATATTTATCTGGAATGGTAAGATCCAACAAACAAGTGTGATTTGGTGTCACTTTTTTGTCCAATAACAAAAATTTAAGGATATCATTTACAATCCTGACAATATCTTAATTGTAATGGAGTACTTAAGTGGCGGTGACATACAGACAGTTCTTGAAAAAGATCATCACCTTTTACCAGCTGAACAGATACGCATTTCTAGCGAAATCTTAAGTGCTCTATCTTATTTACATAGAAGAGGTATTAGCCATAGAGACATCAAACCTGCTAATATCATGTTTGATAAAGATCTTCATCCAAAACTCATAGATTTTGGCCTTTGCCGCGAACTGTCAGGACATCTCTCAACCATATGCGACACCTATACACTTATGGCACCTGAAATAATAAAAACAAGTGATTATGATGGAACTAAAGCTGATATTTGGTCATTCGGGGTTTCTCTTCATATCTTGGCAACCGGGACATATCCTTTTCAGTATCACTCAGATTCTCAATATATTAAGGCAGTAAAAACGAATCAATTGTGCATCAATATTAAAGCACAAGGTCTTATTGGAATTGTTATTCGAGAATGCCTTAAACTTGATCCTTGCACTAGAAAGAACGCAGATGAATTGCTTGATTTAATTAAGGCTCAAAATAATCATGTCCAAGCTAGTTCTCTTTTGAATATAGCCAACGGAAAACGCAGAAATACGTTCCATAATATTTCAATTTCAAAGAACTTAAGCATAGGTTCGTTACCTTTCCGCTCAAGATTAGGTTCTAATCGTTCATTTTTTTAATACTTCTATCAAATTGTAATAAAAAAAATTATATAACTTTTGAATTTTTTCGCCGATTATTGAATTTGACAATTTCTTGTAAACCAAATATGCATACATATATTGTTGAAACTTGAGTTGGTGTCAAAGATAAGTTTCCAGGGGATAATTTGAATATTTTATTCGAAGAAAATTAGATTCCAATTATGGGTGCTATCAAACGAAATATTTTAACATCTCTTGAATCTTACTCTTGCGCCTAATCATTCTCCAATTTTTTTTTGAGATAAACATGAATAAAAATAAAATAAAAAAGTGGGTGAACCGTGAATCGAACACGGATCTATTGAGCCACAATCAACAATACTAACCATTATACCATTCACCCCTGACATTTTTCATCAAATTTAATAGTATAATAAAAATTTTCGAAACTTTTCTAAAATATTTTCATGCAAAATCATTGATTCCTTCACAATTTTAGTGATAATTTGCAATTTTTTATTACTTTAAGCTTCAAAAAACGATTATAATTAACAGTACTTCATAAAGTTTAATTTTTATTGTTCTTTAATAAATTCAACAACATCTTTCTCGATTGAGGATGGATTTGTAGTTGGAGCATAGCGCTTTATCTTCTTGCCATCGCGGCTAATTAAGAACTTTGTGAAATTCCATTTGATTGCAGAGCCTAAGAAACCACTCTCTTTTTCCTTGAGGAATTTGTAAATGTCAGCAGCATATTCACCATTGACATTGATCTTCTTCATAATTGGGAAGGTGACTCCGTAATTCAATGAGCAGAATGAGGCAATTTCTTCATCTGTGCCTGGCTCTTGGGATAAAAATTGATTGCATGGGAATGCAATGATTTCGAAGCCTTCATCTTTATGCTTTTGGTAAAGGGCTTCGAGGTCTTTGTATTGAGGAGTGAATCCACACTTACTGGCAGTGTTAACAATCATGATAACCTTTCCCTTAAGTGTATCGAAGTGGAAATCGTTGCCTTTGTTATCTTTAACGACGAATTCGTAGATAGACATCTAAAAAATGAAATGACTCAAACTATTCACTTTTTTGTAAAAAATCGCCGATCGCACTAAAGGTACATTCACTAGGCGATAACAGTAAAATGGGATGAAAATAGGATAAATAGCATCCCTATATAGTGCCTAACAATATTTATACGGGCCAAAAAAATTTGGCTAGAGATTTGGCGAGTTATAAAACTTAGAAAATTGAGAGGGATTTTTATTTTTGAATTTTTTTGGAAAGTTAAAATTGCGATTAAGGGTGCACACGAGAGGATCATGTAAACTTCAGAATTTAGAACCTTATTTTAGGCATTATTTTGGCTACCTATTTAGGCTCGAAAAGCAAAAAATATCAAAAAATACAACTTGACTCCATTATGACCCTTTCATGGAGGTAGTTTTTATCCGCTAGTATTTTCCCTTTGAATCTCTTTACAATTCGAAATCAAATTCAAATCTCAGTAGAAGAAAGGAAGAATCGACTTACTACGGTTGTAATACGAATAAATACATATATTTAATTATTTTTATTTACATAATAATTGTTTGAAGCTCATATTCCATCAAATTTTTAAATAAAAACATTAAAATGTTGAAAATGTTCATATATTTTAATAGGGTTTTGGCACTTTATTGAGGAATTACTACATACATAGTCGAACTGAACTTGATATTTTGAAATTTAAATTATTTATCAAAATTAAAATTTAACTTGAAATTTATAATTATTTAGTCATATTTTGCATAATTCTAAGTAGATTTTGTAAAAAATCAAGAAAGAAAAATTTTAACGTGCTTTATTTTTTCTTTTTTATAATAATACATATTATTATATAATTAACATATTCATAATGTTTCACCCTTTCAAAAATATAATCCTCCTCCTCTCAAATAAACGTACATACGGGTGGCCTCTTTTTTCAAAAAATTAAAATTTGAAATTTTGGGCTCAAATATTAGAGATTTTTTCAACCTTCAACGATATATGTTGTCTATATCAGACCTCCTTTTTTTTGATACTTAACATTGTTCCTAAATCTTAGCCGTTACGGCTGTTCTGAAAATATTTTTTTTTCGAAAAAATTCGAAAAAAATTCTTAAAATTCAAAAATCCCTTAATTCCTGAGGATTTTGGAAAAAAGTTTTTACATGAACATGTGTATATTATATGAAGTATATTGATAAGGTAAAAATCAAATTTTATTGCATATTCATCGAGAAAATAAACTAACGAATCCCTCAAAATTGAGAGGGTAATCCTCCTCCTCTCAAATAAACGTACATACGGGGGCACCCTTAAAAATCGATTTCCAGGAGAATAATTGCAAAGAAAGATAGCCGAATTTACTGGGTAGTTCTTGTGATGCAAAATAATTGCAAATTAACACCTAGTTTTAACAGCATCAATCTCTTTTTGCTCTCATAGAAGAAGGATATGATGGGTTGTGTGACTTTTTTTGTAAACGTAAGAATTCATACAATATTGAACGATTTTGTATCATTATTTTAACATATTAATTTTAAAATAATTTATTTTTTTATTCTTACATAAATGACCCAACAAGTAAAACCAGATAAAATAGATTATCGAATTTTAGAGGATGGTGTTCCTGTTTATATTCAAAGATTTAAAGGGAAGCAATATTATAGAATTGTTAATCCTGAATACATAAAACATTTATTTAAAAAGGAAGACTGTGAATTATTAAACGTTAATGAATATGAAACCAATAAATCAAAATTGAAATATAAATATATTGGAAGTGATGAAAGATGCAAAGATAAAGATAAAGTTTATACAGTTTCATATTATGAATGGAAAACCAATAAGATAAGAAAACATTTAGGAGATTATGGTAAAAGTTCTGAATTCTTTAAATCTAGTATATACGAGAGAGTAAAAGAAATTAGAAATAATTATTTTCATGAATAAAAAAAATAAACTTTAAACATTCATGTCTCAGAATCAACATTGAACTTTAAGAAACTAATGATTATTTGAATTTATGAAATCAATTATTTGATTCATTCTTTCTTCAATCTCTTCTATTCTTTTTGTTAAATCATCTATTTTCATTAATGAGGTGATTCTTGATTGAGGAATAGATTTCAAACTAACCACTCCTTTTATTTTTGAAATTTTGAATCCATCAACTTTAAACATTTTATTCAATTTACATGTTGTCAATTCTTCAAATAATTTTTTATTGTTAGCATAATAGTCATTAAATTCTTCAACAGATGAAAAATTTTTTATTTCAGTAATTGGTTTAACAACGTTTATTTTTTGTTGAACATTTTCACTTTCATTTATTTCTTCCTCCTCTGTTTCATTTATTTTTAAAATTGGTTTCATTTATCATTAAATAAAAATTAGAATATAAGTGATGAAATATATTTTTTAATTAATATTAAATCAGAAATGGCTGCAGGATTCTTTAAAAAATTATGGGATGGAATTAAGAAAGCTGCAGGTTGGGTTCATAAAAATATTATTAAACCCGTTGCAAACTTTTTGGCACCAGTAGCGAAAACGGCAGGAACTATCATAGGTGGAGTATTAGGTACTAAAGCAGGTAATCCGGCAATGGGAGCACAAGCAGGTAATGCAGTTGGTGGAATTGCTGAAGGAATACTTAATAAAATAGGAGGTAGATAGTGGAAAAATAAATAAATATTATTTTTATCTTAGTATCGGTTGAAGTCTTTGATAAACTTTTTCTCCTTTATTTAATATTTCTCTTATTGGGGCGGCTTTTGGCGTTATTGATTCAGCAACGTCACTAATTGCTTCTTTATTCTTAAATATCCAATTTGCTCCCTTCTTCAATGTTTCCCAAACTTTATGCGCTCCTCTTTTTACTTTATCCACAGTTTCTTAAATATACCTGCAGCCATAGTTGATTATTTCATTAAAATTAAAAAAATTCATTTTCATCTTTTAATTTTGATTTTTTATTTATTAATAAATGACGACTAACTATTTGGTGCCAAACACCAAACCGATTAATGGAAATGTATTTCATTCATTCGAAAAGATAAATGAAATATTCGCAAAGAATGATGGTAGAAGATATTATAGAGAACCTGAAAGTTCATGCTATGACTCTGATGCTCCATATTTTGATGATAAACAAACTCATTTAAGAATTACAAATCCGGCTCATGATGTGAACCAATTAGGTGACACATATATTAAACGCAAAGTTAAAGTAACTCTAGTTTCAAATAAAGCTTTCACATGCGATGCCGCTTTTAAATGCATGCGTTTATTCGTTGGTTACAAATCATCAAATCAAAGCTTTAAACAATTAGAAGTAGAAACCGAAAGAGGTGATGCCGGTTATCTTCAATGGATTGCGCCCGTGAATCTTTCGCATTTGCAACATATAAACCAAAATCAGAAAGGAAAGTTAAAAATTTGTTCATTCGTTATATAATAATGTTCAAAAATATGATAACTCAGTATGTGGTAAATATATTGACTCTTCAGAAGTTTTCAAGAAAGCAAATGAAGAAGTTGATATCACTTTTGATATGATTATTCCGGTAAATGATTTGTTAGCATTTCAGGCGTTCGATGATTATCCTAAATCATTTGGTGATATCATTCTTAAATATTATGTTTTCAGGGATACTTTAGTATTTTGTCAGGTTGACCCGTTAAGAGTTGCTGATTTACAAAATTACGTTTATGAAAAGATAACTGATGAAAATTATGAAAAGATTATGAATCATGTTTATAAATATGATCGCAAATTCCAACAAATCGGACTTCCTGCCAAATTAATTACAAGCTTAGCCGCCACACATCTGCTGACGCAACAGTTGATGACGTTATTATTTCATGCACAAAGATGGAAGTTTTAGAGGATAAATGCATTACACCAGGATACGGTTTAATTGAAGAATCAATTAAAGCAATACCACGTTTATTCAGTAAGGAAGATCCATTCATGATTCCAGCTCAACATATTGACGTTCGTTCACTAAATGGAGGTTGCATCACTCCTGAAGGTATTAGCTCAGATTTCTCATACGCTCTTCATAATGTTACAGATGTTGTGTTAACATTTCCGAAGAATGCAATGCAAAGAACAGTTTTAGAAAATCCAATGCTTCGAGGTCTTCAGGTCACTATAGATTCCAGAAACTTCCCCGATCAAGCGATGACCACAGTGGGTGACATATTCTTTACACGTATGCTTCAAGCTTCTGATTTAGATGGAGTGAATGAATGCACGAAGAATACGAGGACTCATTAACTAGACCACTGAATGATGATGATGGCAAGCCATTAGCTAGAACATGGAAAGACCAAACTTCATTCTTATGCACTATTCCAGTTCAACGTGATGGAGCGGGTATATTCTTTGATGGATTAGAAACTTTCAACTCACAAGTTACAGTACAAGTGAAAGCTTATCCAATCATTCAGGGTGAAAATGACACTTACTGTTCAAAGGTGACAAATCCTCCTCAGGTTTGGTTTACTAGGACTACATATTGGACATGGACACCGGATGAAGGTTTGAAATATCATCCAACAGGTACACCACCACAGTATAGAAGTTCATATGATGAAATATTGATGAATAGAAATGTTTAAAATTATAAATTTATTTTTGATTAAATGGATTTAAATTCATACACTCCTTATGAAGAATTAGCAGGAGTATATAATACATACATAGATGATATGATTAATGAAGCATTGAGTGATAATAGAAATGCTCTATCTAAGGAAAAATTAATGAAAATTCCATATTCTGAATGTTACTTAAATTCAATCACTGCAGCAATTGGTAAACAAAATAAAGGTAAAACATTAACGATATTAAAACAAATTATCATTATTGCTAACACTTCCCCCTATTCACATGTGTTAATTTATATCAACCGTTCAGGTTCACCTTCAGATGATACATTTGAATCTTTAAAGCATTTAATCAAAATTCCAATTATTTATTTATCACAAGAAGAAGCAGAAGATTATTTAAAAAACTTTTTAATGTATAAAGAATTATATAATACAATCAAGAAGCAAGGATTAGAGGATAAAATTATTGATAAACAACGGGATGAATTATTTGAAACACTTTCTATTTCAAATTTTGATAAAGAATTTTTGCATTCACTAATTTTTCTAGATGATGCCGTGAAATCAAAACTAATAACTAATGAGAAATCATATTTTAATCAATTATTAACTCAATGTCGACATATTCAATGTTCATTCTTTATGGCTGTTCAATACTTTAAAGCATTAAGCACAAACATTAAATCAAACCTGTCCACCCTTTTCATTTTCAGTGGTTTTAGTCGTCAACAGTTGAACGTTATGCTTTATCAAGTGAATTTACCAATGAGCATTAATGAACTTTACACACAATATCAACAATTAGGAGAACATGGAAAAATAATAGTTGATTTAAATAAAGGTTCCATTAAATTCGAATAACTTTTTTATAATTAATTTTTATTTTTTATTTATAATTAAACATGACAGAAATTGCAAATCTTCTACAGGTTCCATTAAAACAAGGAACAAACAAAAAGGGTGCATATAATAGAACTATGAAAGTTCCTGATGGAATGAAAGAATTAGTTCATATTGTTGCTGGTCTTCAAAAAGATGTTAAACAAATGAGAAACGTTTTAACATTACCAGAAGCTCAAGCATATGCCAAACGTCAAGGTCCAAATTGGGAAGCACATGAAGCAGACATTACAGGACCAAATGGAAAGCCTGATGGAATAAATGAAGTCTTTGTTACTGATGGTCAAGGAAATATTAAAGTCATAAATGGGTATAAATTAACAATGACGGATTATCCTAAACGTAAAGCATATAATGAACGTTTATCCTATGAAATTTGTGAAAATGGAAAAGCTGTTAAACAACATATCGGAGACAGTAAAGATGGACCAATTCTTATACCGTATAATCCATATTCTTATTTCAATGAAGAATTAAACGCTATTGAAGAAGGCCAAACGGATTACCTCAATATGTTAATCAGTTTGATGGTCAATATGCAAATTTGAGACCTGAAATTCCAGCTAAGAAATTCTTTAAAGTTGCTTTTATTCGATCCAGTGTTCAATGAACAGAAAGAAGCAATGAAAGCAGAATTTAAACCAATTCAAGTGGCAAGAATTTCTTCATCTTCACTTTCAGAAGCGTTCAAGGAATTGATAAAGAACCACTTTATTCTCAACAAGGTTATAACTTTGATTTAATTAAAGAAAGTGATAGACGTAAATTAGAAAATCAGATGGTTTAAGAATGCATGTAATGAAATGATTAAAGATATTGTAAATGATAAATAAGACTGGAAGAAACTCAATCATTATCAATAACATAATTGGTGCAGTTACAAAGAAAGTTATAAGCAAACAAGGATGAACCTTGGGATATTACCGTAACAACAAATAAAACTTTAAATATATTTTTCTTTTTTTTATTCAATTATAAATGAGAAGACGTTTCACTAGTCAAAAGAACACTAACGCAAAAGCAGAGATTACGGTTGGTTATAACGTAAATGATGATAAATCACGAATTATTCAAAATGTTAAAGTTAATGTTAGTCCTGAATTAACAAGGTCAGCAACTCAACCAAATTTATTAACTCGTGACTTACCAAAGAAAGAGGAGGAGCAAAATAAAGAAGATGGAGACCCAATCATTTTATCTGAACCCGGTAAAGAACCTGTTGAAATTCCCACATATCCAACATACCCCCACCTCTTTCATCAAACATCGAGAACCAGAATCTACGATTCCAGTCGCAATGCGCCATATAAAGTAGACATTAATTCTGAATTAATGAAAATTTACCGTGATATAATAACTGATAATTATGATTCAATAATAAATTTAATTGATCAATCTGGTTTAATTATTTTACCTTATGAATCATTAATTCACATTATCGCCATTCTTTGTGATGTTCAAGATTCAGACGTTAAGATTCAATTTTTCATAGATGATGAGGTTTCATGCTGCGGAACAGTTGCAAAATAAATCCTATAAAGGATATTAGCACAATTAAGATATCAAAGAATGGAACAACAACTGAACTACATTTAACTTATAATAACATATACAATAAAATAGTTGATGAATATAAAATATCACTTGAAAAATTCTTTGTTAAGGCTATTTAATATTCAAGCATTAACATTATCGAATAATAATCCTTTGAATCATAATCAATAATAATTGACCTTTCACCAGTTTCTATCGTTTGTTTTATTTCTTTTTGTTCCCCACTATCCGGATCGGTCATTGTAATTGTTTTTGTTATAGTATCAGCTTTATCTTTAACTTCAATCTTTTTTCCATCAGGATATTTAAACCAAAATTCCAAAAATTCGATATTGTCAATCTGCTCATATTTTAATCTATCAATTACATTTTTAATACCATCTGAAAATCTTATGAAATGGTCATTATATGGGTTTGATTGAACTAAATTTGAATGAAGTGAAATATAACCTGTTGATGAATATGACATTGACTCGTATTTTCTGAAAACACTAAAATTTATAACATGAATGAATTTCTTATTCGTTGAATTTTGAATTCTTGAGGTAATCTTATTCTAGTTTTATTTATCACTGGAAAATAACGCTTTACCATATTTTTAATCGTAATAAAAATGTCAATTATCAATATTATTTCGAATAATAGTTGTGAATTAAATTTAACAGTTAGCGGAATTTATAATGTTACTCTCGTTTCTGTGAGTGGTAAATTTAATCCCATTCTTTTAGACCCTTCAGATTATATATCATTTATTAAAGATGACCATGAAAAAACGTATGATATGTATATAAATAATGTGATAGCGAAATGGGATATTAACATGATTTTAAGTTATTTAAATGAATCATTTATCGTATGGTATGAAGAAAATTTTAAATCAAAACCCGATAAACTTTTTGAACTTGATGAAATAAATAACCTTATTAAATTCCCGCTGAAAATTAAATTTTGTACTCCTCATCTTCGTTCATTGTTGGGGATATTAAATTTGAAAAAGATGTTGGGGATGTTTTGTATTCTGACACTGGTTCCAATTTCATTTTAATCAAATGTGATAAAGTTAATACCCCAATGAGATTTTCACATCAAACATTAGACCCTAACTCTTACCCATCAATACAAAACATTTTATCCATCAACTTAAACACATTTTCTTTATCATATCCGTTTCAATTATCCGGGAATTCATTTATTCTTCATTCAAAAGATTTATCAAATATTAAATTTAGAATAACTGACCTATTTGATTGTGATTTAGAATTCATGAATGAAATATTATGGCAATTTCAAATAGAAAAAATAGCTGATGAGATAACAGATTAAATATTTATTTTTAAATCATAATAAATGATTAAACAACAGCAACCACAACAACTTAAGGCACAAAGCACCCAGGTCCCTCAGACCATTACATACGCCATATATGCATATAATTCAAAGACGGCAGAACAAACGCAAAGGTTGAAATATGGAGATTTGGAGATAGTATTGAAAAATGAACATTTCGAATTCGTTTGCAAAGGTGGTGCAGTGATATCAAATATAAAAGAAATTTTATTTATGAATTCAAAAATTAAAGGAATAACGGATGATATAACATCAATTCCACCAGAAGAACAAAGATATTACACATTAAATGCATTTCCTAAAGTTTTGAAGATTGGAAGATTTAATTTAAATGAGGAATTCATAAAAGGTTTCCTAAATGACATAATGAAGAAAGCAGCTAAGGAATATGTGGATGAAAAAGATAAAGAAATTAAAGAAAGGGTTGAATGGTATCATGAATGGACATTTGAGACTTTTAAAGTTAAAGCTGATACAGAATGGGTTTCGGGATGTTTAGACCTTAAAGCAGATAAAACTTATGTTAACGATGAGTTAGAGAAGAAGGTGGATAAAACATATGTTAACGAAATATACCAAAGTTTGATAGGAACAACGAAAAATATTGAAACTATTGTTGGTGACTTTTCTGTCAATGAAGAAAATAAATATTTTAGATGGCAGTTTGTACAGTCCTTAAAAAATGGTACACGGTGTAAACTCATTCCGAAAAATAACAATGAAATGTATGTAAGTTATAAAAAGAATGATGGCACACAAGTTAAAGTTCCATTAGACAACAACTGCTACTTAAACTTATATGGAGACGAACAAAAGAAATATTTAAGAGTTTATGAAATGGCAGATATGACATTGCCTGACCCAGCTCCAGCACCATATTATTATGACTATGGAGATGATGTCAGAACACCACATGTAGATGAACAAAAGTTAACATTATATTTAGATTATTATAGATATAAAAGATATAATGCAATAGAAAAAACGAGAATAGTATATTATTATACAGATGACAGAAATAAATATTATAGTCAAGATTTTACCTACCCTGAAAACATAAGATTATATTATAAAAAATATTCTGACACAAACCAGAAGAAACCTGAAATAGTTGCACTATATTTTAAGTTCAAAATAGACAATCCTATATTATCTCATATGTTTGATTTAATGAACCCAGTAGGTTCTATTTATACATCTATGGATGCAAGAGGTCCTCAAGTAATGTTTGGTGTTGGTGCATGGGAACAAATAGTCGACAGGTTTTTGTATTGTGCAAACTCTTCAAAGGAAACAGGGGGAAGTAAAACGATTTCAGGTGAAAATTTACCTGCACACAGTCACTACATAGATTTAAGTACATCTCAAGCAGGTTGGCATAAGCATAGATATTGGGATTGGTCAGGAATGACAAAAGGTAAAGGATATGATGTTAAAGACGACGTTAAGTTTGCCATAAATTGTTACTGGAGTGACACTCAGGGAGAAGGAAACCATACACATCACGTTTCAGGATATACACAAACAACGGGACAAAGTAAAGAATACATGCCACCTTACATGACAGTTTACGCATGGTATAGAGTTCAATGAACGCTCAATGTTTGTGAAATAAACTTTAGAACGGACTGAAAGTCCTGAGCTCCAAAAGAGCGAACGGCATAATTTAAATTTTTATTTTAGTATAAATGACAAAATTAATTAAGCCAACTATTTCTAAATTAATGATACCAATGAAATCATTTCATGGAGTACTTATCCCAGGTTCTTCACAATTAGCCGGGGCAGGTGTTGTGACTCAAGGTGGAACATTAGTGAATCCATTCAAATTATTAACTAAAGATGAACTTAATAAAATGATGATAAAATAACTAATAACAAAATTTTATTTCACTACTATCATAAAAAACAGGCGAGATCTCACCTCTTCACCTCAACTTTATTTATTTTTATTTTTTTATTTTGTATGTAAGAACAGAAATGTCAGTCGAAGCACAGACGTTCACGAACAAATCTAATGGTGAAACATTCACAAAAGGCACTTATAATGGTATTGAAGTCTTACGTAGAGACAAGGATGGTTACATTAATGCAACAAAGATGACAAGAGAAGTGGGAAGGTTAAACCATTTAAACAGATTTCTCAATAGTACTAAAATGCAGGAAATTATTGAGTTTTGGATGAATGAATACGGTCGAGCCAAAAGTGGCTCAACCTCAAAACAAGCATTTTATGAGCTTACTAAGAGTGTTATAAATGAATTCAAAGGTATTTACATACATCCTGACCTCGTTCATTTTGTTGCTGAATGGTGCTCTGTAAAGTATGCATTTTATGTCAAAGATATTATGGACTCCATAGACAAGAAAGTTCATGAGAAATTAGATGAAGAAGAACTCGAAGATACAGTAGAGAATACTAAACATTTGTTTGAAGAAGAAGTTAGAAAAATGTGTGAAAAACAATTAGAACACGAACGTGAGATATGTTATGGTTGTAGAGATTCTCCATACGAACTAGACCAATGGGAACAAGAAGATTTAAAGAGAGAATTTAGAGAATATGAACTCGCTAAGATAGCATTAGAAACTGCAGAAAAGAAGTTAAAAGTTTGGGGTCGTTTTGTACAAAAATATTGTGAGTAAATGAACCATTTATTTTTATCATAAACGACCAAAAATATATGTTTACGTTAATGTTTTTAGGTTATTCAACATCTCTGAAAAAATGAGACAACATGACATTTTGACAACAACATAGGAGGAAGGCATTTATGAATTATTTTGAAGAACTGAAGGTGTCACCACGTCACCATGTCACCAGGTTAATTAACTTCTCTGAAAAAATGAGACAACATGACATTTTGACAACATCACAGGAGGAAGGCAGTTATGAATTATTTTTGAAGAACTGAAGGTGTCACCACGTCACCATGTCACCAGGTTAATTAACTTCTCTGAAAAAATGAGACAACATGACATTTTGACAACATCACAGGAGGAAGGCAAAAATAAATTCCAATCATACTTTATACTGCCTCATTTACAGGTATTTCATCGTCAGTAAATGAATCCTCATTATCGTTTGGTTCAACCTGTTTATATAATCCTTTCATTTCTTCTTTCAAAACATAACACCATGTTTGTTTACCATCTATTCTTCTCTGTTTCCTATCACATTTATCCTTAATGCTCATTTGGAAATTCTTGTCTTTCATGTCTGATGGTTTGCAGAATAGAGCATTTTTACATGTCATACCTGCACTCAATTCATCATAATGTGTATTTATCCATTCATCTAAAGGATTTGTTGATAATTCAATTAAATCTTGTTTGGCTTCAGTCATCGGTATGATTCGTACATTAAATGATGAAAGGTCGTAATTGATAAAATATGTTAAAAGGTTATCATAAAATTCCTTTGTGCATGAATCCATCAAATTCTTGAAGTAATCAAATTGACCCTTGAATTTACCATTAACCCTTAAAACTACGTATCTTCTGTCTCCAACTTCAATTTTGACAGGGTAGACGTTATTAGTTACGAAAATGAAATTGGCAACATTCTGTGCTGTTCTTCTGGGTTGATTCTTTTCATTAATTCTAATCTCATTATCCGTTATAATTGATTTCAAAGCGTTGAAGTTTGCGAGTCTATCTTCACCTACATTCTTGAGTTCATTAAGTACAAGAAACATTTTATTCTCAACTACTGAATTGAAATTACCCGTTAGCTCACTTATTTCAGTAATGTTTTTACATGAATAACCGGCGAGAAGTTCAGAAATAATGTCTGTAAATCTGTTTTTACCTGTTCCCTGAAGTCCTTTCAAAATAATTGCTGTTTCATTCTTGATACCAGGATGTTGAATCATTGATGCAATCCAGCCGAGAAGGTATTTATACACTTCATCGTTATTATCACAAATGGCTTCTTTAATGAAATTCATAAACATCTCAATTTTTGAGTAATCAGGCTTTTCAAGAATGTTGTATTTATAACCCTGAAACGTTGAGAAAACATCTGGGGAATCAGATTTAAAGCAAACACCCTTAACGGTTAATGAGGATAATTGATTTAATAGTACGTCCCATGCTGTTATGGTTTTACCTTCTTCTTTAAATAATTTAATCATTTTGAGTGACTCTTTCATGTTTGATTGAAGAACGAATGATATTTGATTCATTTTGTCGTGGATATTATAGTCCTTTTGAATGAAATATTTGTTTCCACAATCTACAAAACGGATTACACGTGATAAATCCTCAATTACTTCAGAACTGTTTTTATACTGATGATTTTCAGCCCTGCGTCTAATATCTGTTATCAAAAACGAGTCATCAAGTTTGATATCAAATGTTATTTTTGGCTTACGTAATAAAGGTAAAACATATTCATCATAATATTCCTTTTGATAAAGTTTTAGAATCTTCACCAAAACAAATGGAGAAGTCATTAAATGTGCATATCTACTACGTGCTTTTTCAAAATTACTTTTTGCATTTTCAGTTAAATTGCAGAAATTATAAACGTTATCGTATGCTTCATTAATTAAATGATTAGGTAACGAATTAATTGCTTGAAACAGTGTGAATAATGTAACTTCTTTTTCTAAATTCATGTTTCCACCATCATTATGTACTTCAAAATCACTAATGCCATCAACTATGCTCTGGGCAAGTTTATCGTCAATGTTTACATCTTTGTTTTCATTCATGATAGTCTTTATTTCTTCGTTCTTCTGTTCAACTCTTACCTTAATATTCAAATCATTTAATATATCATTCACTGTTCTAGTTAATGTTGAATCATAACTTCCACGAATGAATGAGTATGTATTGGTTGGTTCTGTTGCATTCTTTCGAACTCTTGAATCAGCCATAACCACTAAAGAACGTTTTGAATCATCCATAGAAGTCATTATGTCAATATCATAATCATTGCAGGAATAACATTTAATCATTCTGTTCGAAACTGCATAGAAGAAATTAGTGTTGCAATAAATGTGAAGACCTCCTGAAGCGGTTTTAATGATAACATCTTTATCCGAAAGTTTTGATAAAATATCTTTTCTAACTGTTTCTTTAAGTTCATCATTGTACGATTTATTGATATCAACATCTATAATCGTTAAATTTGAAATTTTATTTACTAATAAAGCCATACCAGTTTTCCTTCCTCTTCCTCCATCATGTTTGAGGTAGTTATGTAAATCAATCTTGTTTTCACCAATTCTTTCGTTGAGGGTTTTAGTTTCTGCCACAACTAATTCCTCAGCTAATGAATCAATAACTTTTTCATCAGAAACGATATAGTTGTTGTTGTTGTTGTTTGTTGCTGTCATTTATATAGGAATAAAAAAATAAAAATAATTTTAAAACTAACTTTATTTTTGGACTGCATCATATTTCCAGGATTGTTGTCAAAATGTCATGTTGTCTCATTTTTTCAGAGAAGTTAATTAACCTGGTGACATGGTGACGTGGTGACACCTTCAGTTCTTCAAAAATAATTCATAACTGCCTTCCTCCTGTGATGTTGTCAAAATGTCATGTTGTCTCATTTTTTCAGAGAAGTTAATTAACCTGGTGACATGGTGACGTGGTGACACCTTCAGTTCTTCAAAAATAATTAATTATTGAATAACTTAAAACCATTAACGATAAAATAAGTGATAACAAATTTTTATTTTTATCATAAATGGATACCCCACAAGCTCAAAATTTACCACGAATCATAACAAGGGAGGAAACGATAAAAATGATGCGAGAACTTGCTAAAAATAACAAACCACTAAAACTGAGAAAATGTGGTTATGCAGTAATGATGGAAAGAGAGACGTTGTCGAAGAGGAATAAAAATTAAATTTGGATTGAGTTTAAAAATTCATCTTTATTAAATTCATCTCTTCCAATCAATTTATTTATTCTATTAAATTCTTTTATTTTTGCTTCACTCAGTTTAAGGATTGAACGGTAAGTTTCTAATTTTTCGATTATTTCTTTCCTCTCTTTATCGTTTTCAACCCCACCGCATTGCGGCTTCTTTTTGTAATAGCATATTTTTGATTTAATTCTGTTTAGTTTCTTTTTATATTCATCGTCTGGACTCTTGACTGCTTTGTTGTCACTCATTTCTTACGAAATAAAAAAAATTAAATATTATTTAAATATAATGGAGTAATAAAATAAATCGGAATTTCTATTAATTTATTGTCAACTTCAACTAATACATTACCGTTAATATATCTAACAAATTCAGCTATTGTGTCAAATCTTCGTCTTCTTTTTGTCATTGATTTATCAGTTTTTCCATAATCGAGATGAATCAAAACTTTATCCCCTTGTTTAAAATTCATGAGCCCCGAATTAATTTGTTCACGTTTAACATCATTCAACCTTTCCATTTGCTTTCTAATATATTCCCATTCTTTTGAAATATCATTTTTCATTTCCACTGGTTTCATGTTTATTGTTCTATGCCATGTATTATTATAATAATATACTAACTGTTGTATGATGGAGTCATGATTTCCATCCCAGTATATCTGACCGTTAACCCCTAACGCATCTCTAAGAGTTCTCATTACCGCATCAACTATTTTATTATGAAACGTATATGGAGAGGATGAAAAAAAAATTAATTTGTGGGAAATAATGAGCCATTGCGCCTGAAATCCTTTATCACCATCACCCTGATATTATCTACTCTTTCATGATCTAGTAAGTATTGAATAGCTCTTCTTGTTTCCTGTTCTGTTTTCCCTTTCACCGGAATGCAATATAAATATCTAGTGTTAATGTTAATGGCAAATAAATAAGTAACGTTTCCTTTTGAATATTCCAGATGATCGATTTCGTATGAATATGGATATGGTGCAAATGAAGGGCGACTAAATTTTTCCTTTAACGGTTGAATTTTTGGGTCAATTGGTTTATTTAATATCTTGAAATCCTTTTTAAAATCTTTTTGCTTCTTTAATGTTTGAAATGGATATAATAAAGTGAATGATGAAGGATTAACTGAAGGAGGAGGCGGTACTGTCGTTGGAAGTTTTGGTGTTGCAAGTGTTTAATTTTATCTGCTTTGATTTTGGATGATGAAGTTTTGGATTTCATTCCTTCCTTCATTAATTCTGGATGTATTCTATTCATTTGTTTTAAATATGCTGTATATAAAGGTTTGATATACTTTCCCGCTTCGAGTTTATGTTGAAGGATGAATTCCAAAAGTTGATCTTCATTTAAAAGTCGGGCTGAATATGGTTTAACTAATGAATCATAAATTAAAGCTTGTGCTTCATTTATGGTCTGAAGGACCTGGGTGTTTTGTTCCTTTTGTTTTTGCGGCTCATGATTATATAAATTATATAATTCATCAATATCTTCTTCTGTTAATACTTTATTTTTGAAATCTTTCAATTGTTTAAGTTTGTGATTTAGTTTTTCCCTTTGTATATTCATTATTTTTAATTTTGTCTTTAATTTTAGAAATTATTTTATCATGATATTTCAAAATTTCATTTTTATAATATGGATAATAATATTCCATATCATCACCCGTTATATAATTATTATGTTTTTGGAGATATGATTTTAATTCATAATAATTAAGAAAATTTTGATTAAGTACTAAATTATCAATTAAAATTTTTAAATCTACGCTATCCATTTATATAAAAATAAAATAAGTGTTTTAAGGGTGCCCACCTCTTTGAATCATAGTATCAAAACCATCATTAACGGTTCCTTTTGTCTCTTCTGTGGCATTTCATTAAAAATAAAATTTTAAATTGTATTAAATAAATGGCATACAACATCCATTTTCACAACATACAGCCTTAGTGTGTGCTCCTGTTAATGCAGTCTTACCAATTGTTAAGCGAGTCATTGACCCGTTTTTAAGTTGTAAATTAATATTCTGACCATCGAAAATAACTTTATCATTTATTATATCCAAATAATTTTTGGGTGTTAATTGTTTATTTTGTCGTAAACTAACACCTTTCATTTTTTGTGCAATCTTTTTAAAATCACTTCCATCAATTGAACCGTTGAATGACGTATAACACTTAGGGCATAAAGCAACCATGTTATCACCTTGTTTCTCAATTGCTAAACCCAATAATTTTTTCTCATGTGCTTTTTCTTCAGCTTTATTCTTTAATTTAGGTTTAAATTTCTCATCAAAACAGAAGAAATCAAATGGTGCGAATTTGAAAATGTTTTTATCATAAAATTGTTTATCTGTAACAATTGCTTGAAATGCTTGAGTGTTAGGAAGATTTGGGTCGCCAGCGATTGCCCAATAAGATGAATCAGTATCACCTTCAATGAAATGAAAACGATTAACATTCATGCGTTTATACATAAAATCATAAATGAAAACCAAATACCAGTATTTAGCATTATCTAAAGTGAAGAATGCCTCTTGTAAACATGTATCACATCTATAAAATCTATCTTTAAGCATCACTTGATATGTATCCTCACCTATTTCTCTTATGTTTTTAAACTTATTTGACATACATGCAACGCGTGCCTTCTGTGCATTCATTATTTTAGTCTTTGCATAATTTTGTGTATTCATTGCATCGTAACCATATGATCCATTAAGTGAAATCTTGCAAAATAAACTTTTTCCTTTATTTCTTCTAATTCAGCCTTTTGTCTTTCATTCATAAATTCGTTCGCAAATTCATTAAAACAAGTGTTTTTCGTAAATGTTAAAATTGATTGAATATCATCGATGATAAAATGAAATCTGTCGATTAGATACCAAAGATAATAAGAAGAAAATGGTTGATATTGGTTGTGTGTTGATGCTAACTGAGTTAATTTCCTCTGTTTCTGGTCAACTGGTAGATTGTTTGATTTCATGTAATTATACATAAAACTGCCAATTGTTTTTTCATCTGTGATAATATCTAAGTTTCTTATTATCGGTAAAAAGTTTATGTAATCATTAATGTATTTTTCATCAATGTGACCCTTTACTTCAGCACGAATAAAGTATTTTTCTTCTTAATTATTCCCAGTGCTTTTGCTTTCTTTGTTGCTGTATCACAAATGATAACACCATTCAATCTTCCCGGCATATACATTTTATGGTCAGTATATTGAATGAAATCATGAGGATTAGATGAAAATGATGAAGGATATAATGAATTAAAGTCAACTCCAACGAAATGAGTCATAATGTTGGTGGTGTCCTCATTTGATACAGTTTTAGTTTCTGGATTATATGAAAGTTTATTAATGTGCGTGATTCCTTTAAGATTAACACGATGTTGAACATTTGATAAACCACCAGTAATTCCATTACGGAGAATGTGATAAGCTTCAACTGAATCTAAAGTCATTGGTAAATTATTTTTTAATGCATAATTTCTTAAATTGATTCTTAAACGTTGAACATCTTCATCTTTATTTGATTTTACGACATTGCAATAACAAC